TGTCGGTCGGCAGAAACTTCCTGCAGGAGACAGTTTTGACAGCAACAGAGAACAGACAGTATATGGCATGGGATTTCAGGCACATGTGAGCATGGTCATGTTTCCCATCATGTGTCGAACTCAGGGAAGCATGGCCCTCGATCCTTGAGCCATCAATGGTGCATGATAGCCCAAGGGATCAAGCTTGCCACTTGATGTAAAAATGCATGCAAGATGAACGCTCCTTAACCCGGTGGTCGAGAGTTAAGATGCGTTGCATCACTTATAGTATGAACGCTCCTTAACCCTCACACTTGGTTTGACACCCCAAACCAAGTAATGCAATGCATGTTATGCTCACGCAGCTCCAAGTGCAACATGATACTAATTATGCAAGGCATGCCAAATGCCATGCAACTACTATGGAAAATATGCAATGCTAGGCATGCAAGATGCAAATGCAATGCAAACATGGATAATTTAAGCAATAGGATCATCATGTTACAACACCTAATGAAGCAATCATGCAACAAACATGAAACAAGTATGCAATGGTGGCTTAAAATGGTAAAGGGGCAGACCTTAATTCACCTCAAAACAGTACCTAAAAGTGCCCAAAATGATGGACAAACTCTCATGCCAACATGCAAGCCAATGGACCTAGGGCTAAGGCACAAAAAAGGGCATTTTACTTCTACCAATATGACCAATCATGGCATGAATTAGAGAAGTAAAAACAGAACTTTAGCATGCAAAAATGGACTCCAAAACCCACTAATATGGCAATTTAAGTGGCTCCAATGAGATGCATGCACCAAAGCTCATTACAAGGCATAAAAGGGCATATCCTCAAAGCATGAAAGAGGTCACATATGCAAGCATACAGGCATGCTATGATCCTAAATGATGCCAAATCATAAGGATGGTCTATGCTATGCATGCTAGAAGTCAAAATGCTCAAAGCTTACAAGCCAAAACACAAAGAGAGGACACCAAATAAGGCAAGCATGACTGAAATAGATGGCCAACAGACCTTAAACATGGTAAAATAATGCCAACACCTTCATGGAACTAAGCCAACGCATGCAAGAATCATGGCCTAAGCATGAGACACATTTCTAGGCCAAATGGAGGAATGTAAAGCAAGTATGTTAAGCATGCAAAAGGGCACAAATTCGACCAAAAACAGAGATAACATGTGACTTAGAGACACCCAAAAACCCCTGAAATAGGGCCAAAATCAGTCAAGCATGCATGTTGCCCTTTAAGCCAAAAAGCAAGGAAATGAGGCAATGAAGGGAGAGGGGTGTCCCTCCCCTATACAAGACTTCAAACCACCTTCCTCACCACTGAAAATCCATTGGTTTTCAGTGGTGAGAAGACCAAAACACTCAAGCAAACAAAGCCTCACAAAGGAAGCACCAAAAAGGCCAAATAAGGCCTAAGAAGGTGAGTTTGAACTCAAACCACAAAAGACCCTTAATGAAAATTCTTAAGCATGAAAATATAAACCTTTTTTATGCTATACACAAAAACTAAATCAGCAAGTAAGATAGGTAAAAAACTAGTGCAAGTTTGGGGAAACTAAAGCAAAGTGATTACCTTTGAAGCACACCTCAAGAACAGCCAATGCAGCCCTCCTCTTTTGATCAAAAACAGCCCAAAAACTCAAGAATCAACCCTCAAAGTCCCTCAATCTCGGAGCAAGGTGTAATAGTGTGTGTATTAGTGCAAAAGTAAGGTAAAATCACACTTTTAATAAACACACACAAGGGGGGGAGAGAGAGGGAAATATAGAGAGAGGGTGTATCTATATGTGTAAGCTCTGGTTTTTGCCTTCAAAGTCTCTAACCTAGAGCAAGGAGAAGGCCTCTCCTCTTATAGAAGTCCCTCTTGCAAAGCTTACACAACAAGCTTGCTTAGAGGGACATCCCTTCATACACGTGTATAGAGGGAGGCAGAGTTGGTGCCAGCTATCACAGCTGGCACAAAATATCTACATAAAGTAGATGAACAGTGGTCGGCTGCCCAAAGATGTCATTTTGACAAAATTTAGTGCCGATCGGCAACAAATAGTGCTGACCGGCAATATATATTGCCGACCGGCAAAAAAGATTGCCGACTACAACAAAACGCCAGCCGGTGGCCTATGGCTATGGCCGGTGATGTGTGGGGATGCCTCACAAGGCATTCCCTGCCCCCCTCCAAGGCAAAACGCAAGTGTTTGATGCAAAACCAGACACTACACGGTCGAGTTCGGAGATCTTGAGGCAAGGCGCGTAGCCGAGACTTCCGGGAACTCCAAACGAACACAAACTTGGATGATCACCGGGTGTTCAAACGGTGACGTCCAAGTCTTGAGCACGGTCAAAAATGGGGTGTCTACAATGTCCCGAGAAACTGAAAATCACCTAGGGCCGCATGTCACGTGTCATGAGAAACAAAGAAGACCGCTCGGGTCTGCGTTTCATGCGTCTCAAGATACAACCCAAAAATCGCTCAGGCTCGTGCTTTGCACGTCCCGAGATGAAACCTGCCTAGGGCTACGCGTCACGCGTCCTGAGATAAACAACTGCTTGGGGTCGTGTTTAACACGTCCTGAGATGAAACCCGCCTAGGGCCGCGTTCCACGCATCTTGAGATAAATAACCGCTCGGGGCCGTGTTTCGCACGTCCCAAGATGAAACCCACCCAGGGCCGTGTTTAACGCGTCCTGAGAAACAAAAACCGCTCGGGGTCGTGTTTCACACGTCCCGAGATGAAACCAGCCCAGGGTCGCGTTTCACGTGTCCTGAGAAACAAAAACCACTTAGGGCCATGTTTCACACCTCCTGAGATGAAAGAGAGTGGTGTGCGATAGATGCACAAAATGAAGGTGCAAGTTCTCGTACCGAGATACAAATGAAGTTATTCGGAACTCCTCCGAATGAACCGTACATACAATATTGTTTGCCAGTTAGTATGCGATAGATGCACAAAGTGTACGAGTGCGATAGATGTACAACATGTATGAGTGTGATAGATGCACAAAGTGAATGAACCGTACATACAATATCGTTTGTCTGTTTTGACAAAGGAAGAAAGTAAAGAACTTAACAAGTGTGATATAGTGAAAATACATGTTCTATGCATAATAAGCAACTGAGATACGATGTTAATTGAAGGCATATTCTATGTGTGAAACGAGATGCATATTCTACGTGTGACTCATAATATGATGCAAGACGCGTAAACAAGATACCTATGTGGAGTGAAATGCCCATTGTAAGCAACAGCGTGAAATGCATATTCTAAGCAACAACGTGAAATGCATATTCTATGCAACAATAGAGAACGAAAGGAGAATGAAGGCAAAATGAATAAAGGTGACATTTGATGGCACCTTCCAATTTACCTCTCGGAGGAATTACAATATGTTTAAAAAGGATACACCTCATGCATGTTGACAAGCGATGAACATCGTTATGCTCAAAAACACAATTTTGAGCTTCCGTAGAGACAATTTGAACCCAATAGCGAACTTTCCTTGCAATTCTTGGGAAACAAGGACACAAAACATTATCAGGACTCAAAGGGAGACCATAGGACACCTACCAGCCACTGGAGGGGGTTGCCGGCCTTGAAGTACTGTTCGATGACAGATTGGGGGCTTTTTGGTCATTTGCGCACGGGTCTTTAAGTATAGGACACAATGGCTCATTTCCTCACTTCCTCATGTCCGAAATTCCTCCCCCTCTCTCTTTAGACGCTTCTTCTCTCTAGATTTGCGCTTTCTACGCGTTTTTCAACACCCCACACGAAGTTGATTCGCTAAACCCTATTTGTTTCCTCATTTTTGAACCGATTGAAATTTGATATCAGTGCTTTTTCTTGGAGTTTCACCACTTGAGGCTTGTTTCCCTCGAGTTCTTCTTGGGTTCTGTGCATTTTCCCTGGCTTTGACTTTTTCTTTTTTTTTTCAAACACTTTCTCATCTTCTTTCCAGATGACGGACGATATTCCACATGATGGAGCTCTACTCGAGATTCCACCCAGTTATCACCTCCGGTAGAGATGGAGGCTAAGTCTGACCTCGAGATATTACCGTTAAGAGTACGCCCCTTCGATCCGGCGACAAACCATCCTCGAACATACGTACTGCCAGCTGGGGGTATTAGGCATTTCAAAGAGTTCGTGCAACGCACGCTGGAGGACCTCTTACTATGGGAGCCGGACTCCCATTTGTCCTATGGCGCCACCAAGGTATACACTGTATTCTCATGCTTTCTTCACCTTATATTGCATTTCTTGCTTTGCACTGTATTCTTTGTTTCAACTGTATGCTTACACTGTATTTCTTGCCTCTTGTTGTATTTCTTGCCTTAATCACACTCTTGCACTGTATTTCTTACACTGCCTTTCATCTGCCTGTTCTCATATCACTGTATATCACTGTTTTGATCACATGAGGACTCTCGCTCCATCAGGGGCTATGGAGCCACGTCAGCGAGGGACTGGTATTTGGAGCTTCTTACTGGCATACGCTACATTATCGACGAGGCTAGCTTCAGCTTGTTCTGCACTGGGCTATCACGCCACATCGCGAGTCGACCACTTCTTGGCACATTGGTGGAGCGGTGGTGGGATACCACTAACTCCTTCTACACCGCCGTGGAGATGACGATGACTCCCTATGACTTCTCTATGTTCACGGACGTAGGAGTATGGGGTGATCTGATCCCTTATGACATGGACATGGGCGAGTGAGAGGCCGCTTGGCTACACTTGCTGGGATCGTGCCCACCTCTTTTCAGACCGGCCATGGTCCTATACAGCTCGTTCACTGAGCACTTCCGCAAGAGAGAGCCAGAGACCCTAGAGGAGACTGAGCATTATGCCCGGGGCTTTTTTATGTTCCTTTTCGGTACCACCTTGTTTGCAAACAGGTAGAACACCGTAGGGCTATATCTACTAAGCAATCTAGTGACCCTACCTCAGGTCCGGCTCTATGACTAGGGAGGAGCTGGCCTCGCCACACTGTATGGCTACATGAGCTCGACATCCCGTAGGAGGGGAGATAGAGTTGGAGGCTATTGGAGAGCCTGGGAGGTATGCTTTATATCTCTGCTTTACATTTTCTATCTTCTATTTCTGTGTTTTCTGCTTTGCACTTTCTGTACATTGTATACTGCATTCTTTTACAGCTATACACTGTGTTTTCTGCATTGCACATTCTGCATCCTCTACATTTATACACTGTATTTATGCATTCTACACTATGCATTCTTGGTATCTGTACTTTGTATACACTGTACTATATTTATACTCTGCATTCTGCATTCTCTGTATCTGTGCCTTGTATACTCACTGTTGCCTTTTCCTTACAGCTCTGGGTATATGCATATTTCCGGACCCTTGCTCCAGAGTCGGAGGTGGTGATTTCTCTTGTTGTGCCGTACTCTCATCGGTATGATGGCAGGTGCCTATGTAGGACCCGGGAGACCTTCTCATTCTACTGCCGATACTTCAACATAGTGACTGCGGATGAGGTAACCCAAAACTCACAGACAACTAACAATCTGTATATTCCCTATTTACAGATTGTTTGGCAGCCTTGGGCAACGATGCCGACTGGAGTTAGAGACCTGTACGCCAGAGCTTGGGGGGCCTCCCATTTTCAGCTTCTGCTAGAGGGCCTAATTTGTTGAGCCTGGTTTCTAGGCAAGCGGTTCGTGCGCCAGACTATATGTTTGCCTGAGTCGATAGTTCCCATGACGCCCCCGGCATCTATGAAGGCTACAGAGAGCCTCTCATTCCAAGAGATGATCCAGTTTGCTGAGGGCTTGGATGCCGATTACTTTTGTGGGGGGAGAGATTATTCGACATTTATTCAGACACATCTCATGCCTCCCTTGACGGATGCTCGAGCAGGCAGAGCAGTAGGTGCCCCCATGGCAGGTAGGACTCGGGCGACGAGGGCCAGGACTAAAAGAGCCCCTCCCATTGGACAGGCTACTGGTTGGCCAGAGATCCCGACTATGCTGACATGCTGGAGGCCGACTGGGACATCCTACCAGATTCCGATCGAGCCGGCGGAGGCCAGGCATAGATACGTCCGAGCTCGCAACGTACCTCCAGTATATACCGCATTTTCTCTAACTTTCCATTTCATTTCCAATATTTGTTCCTTCCAGTTATTGATCATTCCCAATAAATTTACAGGCACCCCCGGAGTACACTGAGGGACTGCTCGAGTTACTGGCTTCGTTAGAGAACATGATACTGAGGAGGGGGCATTGCTCAGTCTCTACGGCATCCAGGTATTTTCCCCTATTTTTCAGCATTTTCCACACTGTTGTGCACATCATTCTCACTAAAGCATTGATACTTATATCACAGCATGCATTTTGCCTCTTGTTACATCACACGGATATGCTACACTGACACACTATACTGTATCTAGCTCATTACATTCCTTCACTTTCATCATACTGCATTTGTAACTATACATTATATCTGATATATAAATACTATATCTTTTCAGGTTCTAGCTGTACTGAGAGCACCAGTGGCAACGACTGTGCCTGCACCATCACCACCTCCTCTAGCCGCAGAGGGGAGAGAGAGATAGGCCCCGACATGCTCAGCCGAGAGGAGCGTCATGGCCGAGGCCGAAGGAGCCCTTCGGAGCCAATGTTGAGTGACGATGATACTGAGACCAGTGGCTCTAGGGAGGCAGTGCGTCCGCAGTCTGAGTCCTCTGAGAGTGGAGATGATGGTGACTCGAGAAAGGCTGTCGGTCACCAATGTGCAGAATCTCCAGATTGTTGACAGTTGGCTTCCACTCATTGCCTTATCTTCTACAAAAGCTTCAACTTCGTCATTTCTTCTCCAGAACTCATTCTAGCTGTTGTTTTTGCCACAAATGGAGCCATTTCTTGCCCAAAACCACGCAGATTGGATTGCAACTTTGGACGGCTCGGAAAAGGTGAATTTCTGAGGTTTCGGCTTAAATGCATTTTTTCCGCTGAGTTAGACTCCACTTTGTTTTTCGTTCCTTCTTGCCATGACTAAATGCTGGAACCCGATTACATATGTCTTTAGCTTCGGGGGACAAGAAATATACCCGACAATTGAAGAATTTCAGGCATTAATGGAATCACGGCGCAATGAGGAGATCATGCCTCAGCTCCATTTTGGTCACGCCCAAGCTTTGGGATGGATGTGTGGGCTCACTATGTACGAGGCTTGATCTCTGGCCCACAACGGAAAGCTAGACATTCCCAGTTTGATTCGTCGATTTTTCGACGTTGGTGACCGCAGCGACCGTCTTTGGCGGGGTTTTCGGTAGCATGCCCTATGCTTATTTATACTAGCTCATTTTCTTCTTGCCCCTAGTTTTGGTGGATCTAGCATTCACTTGATTAAAGTAGAGCAAGGCCTGAAAGAAAGCAAGAGTTACATTGGCTTGGCACTGGCCGAGACTTTGATGGGTTTAGACACCTTCCATCGGCGGGAGACTACTAGATTCACAGGAAGTCCACTACTTCTTTAGGTAATGTTTCCCACCCTTTCTAATATGTTTTTCTCACATCTCTCGACACTCAAGCTCTATTTTTCTCAAAAAGCCCTTTTCTCACTTTTCTCTCAACATATATCTCTCTATTCTTTAATCTCTCTTTTCTTTCATCCCTTCCCAAGTGTGGCTTATGGATAAGCTGAAGGTAGTGGATTGTTACCCTGAGTACTCAGCTCGAGGCTACTTCTTCTGTCACTGACTTGTGGATTTCCCGAATGAAGGGTGGTGGTGTGAGTGGATGTACAACAGGTTCGCTATTGACTTAGCATGGCACTGCCTCTGGTTTAATTTGACTGAGATGAGCTATAGCAGGGCTTGGCAATCCGGCATTCAGCTGATCGGCCTGACTCACTGTGTATTCTACTTCCCTTTTTAGTTCAGGCGCCAGTTTGGGCACGATCAGATTTGCTAGAGGAGGGGGTAGATTACTCCGTTTGATTCCCCATCCGAAGTTTACATTTGGCTAGGTACCTCACTGCTTGGAGGACAAGAGAGCTTCTAGCCCCTGCCCCTAGTTTCAGTTGTGCCCTTTCTGGCAAATGTTTGACTTGGCTCGAGGATGGGGCATAAACCAGGCCCACTTTGGCATTAAAAGCTTCCAAAAGCACGAGCGAGGGACGCAGCAGCACCTAACTCATCTATGCCCCTAGTTTATTGCTTTGATCTTTCTTTTCAAGTTTTTTGAATGTAATAAAAATAACTTTGATTTGTATCTAGAGTTGGAGAACTTTGTATTGAAATCAAAGAAATTAAAGTTGTGAGCATTGAAAATTTTCTTTTTGGTCCAAAAATGGTCGAAGTTGTAAAAGGTAAATTTTGAACAAAAATCAACTTTTATCAAAACTTTCCGAAACCATTTTCGAGAAAGATCACCACTTGATACGCATGGAATCAATCAACGAGATGTACAACCCCGAATCCAAAGATCACAAATTATCCCTTGACTTGAATAACACTGCTCAACACTATAACCAGTTTTTCTTTCAAAGTAAAGATCACAACCGAGCCCTTGGGTAAAGAATAAACAAAGATAACCTGATCAAGCACATAGACAGGACAGTTGAGTTGGAGGTATTTATGGCCAGACTTCAGGATGAAGTTGCATACGTATCTCGAAGATGGGAATCAGGCCTTACGTAGTTCGGTTCGGGTTCACTTGAGTATTAACACTCTCCTTTTGCGCTCTAACTTTTGCCAAGGCCACCC